AACTGCGGTCTTAGCCCAAAGGGTGTTATCCAGAATTGTATCCGGTAGTTGTCTCCTCTCCACTTCAGATACCGGAATGGTACTGGTCGGTAACTCATACGAGAGTCAACTCTCATCCATCATGTCCGGCACGTCAGAGGGTTTCTCAAGAATCTTACATATGACGCCATGTGAATCGGGCTCTTGAATGGTGGGAGGACCTCTTCAACGATGACAGGGCCTCTTGAACGGTGGGAGGGGACTCTCGAGGAATGATAGGGGCCTCTTCAACGATAGGAGTGGACTCTTGAGGGATGACAGGCGAGTCGGGCTTCTTCTTGCGGTGTCTTCGCACTATTGGGGTGTACGGAGACTTAATAGCACGTGCACGCCGTTTGATGCGTGAACTCTGTCGTGCAAGAAAAACCCGACGTAAAGCATCCACCTTATCGGGCCGCTAAATAATTAAATACAAAAAGCAGTAAATAAACACACATGATATTTAAATAGTGAAAACAAAGACAAATATGTTTCAAACTTGCATTGAATTCACCCAAGTCATTATTCTATCATAGTTCACAAAATGCATCAGATAACAAAGACAAATATGTTTCAAACTTGCAACACTGTCAACTTAGTATTTGTCTTTGTCTATTGATTGAAGTAAACAATTTTCAAGTTTCAATTTGCAGAAGAAGAATAGTTTCTGGAACTTAAAATCGCAAAGTGAAAAATGACTATCGCAACGCGAAATGAAAATCGCAACGCGAAACGAAAATCACAACGAGAGAATCGCAACGCGAAATGAAAATCGCAACGAGAGAATCACAATGCGAAATGAAAATCGCAACGCAATTATAGTTTCGCGTTGCGATTTTGTCGTTGCGATTTTCATTTCGCGTTGCGATTTTCGTTTCGCATTGCGATTTTCGTTTCGCATTGCGATTTTCATTCTCTCGTTGCGATTTTCACTTCAACCAAAAGACAAAACAGTGTTGCTAAATACTAACTTCAGAGTATTAAAGAATACACAGTTTAGCAGAATTGGCAGCAAACGAACAAATTTACTTTCAACCAAAAGACAAAACAAAGACAAATACTAACTTCACAGTGTTAAAGAATACACAGTTTAGCAGAATTGGCAGCAACCGAATAAATTTACTTCAACCAAAAGACAAAACAAAAGACAAATACTAACTTCAGTGTTAATAAACAGTTTAGCAGTATTGGCAGCAACCGAATAAATTTACTAAGCAATCTAAGTGAAATGGTTAATCTAAGTGAAATTACGAGTAAATTTATCATCAAGTTAAATATGGAAAATCTTAAACTTACCTCGTTGCGTAGAGTATGAACCTCATTCTGCAACGATACTACCATCTCACGTAGAGCGGCAACCTCACCACGTAAAGTAGACACCTCCACACGCCATGCATTATCGTTATCGCGTAGAGTACCGATCTCCTCACGCAAGGCATTGACCTCATCACATAACTCCCTTGACTCATCCTGTGGAGGTGGAGGTGGAGAACAGGGAGATAGAAGTCGTGGCATCTTTGCCGGTCGCCTATCATGAGGTGATGGGGAGAAGAGGCTCGATGATGTGACGGGATAGTGATGCTCTCGTTGTAGAGGTGTATAGTCGGGTCGATCAGGTGATGGCTCTGGGTGAGGTGATGGCTCTCGAAGTGGAGGAAGTGGAGGCTGCTCATCATTCGTGCCATCAAGAAAACGCTGACTAGCTTGCCACCAATCAGTGGCAAGCTCAGCCTCCGTGGGTGTCAGTCTCATTAATGGAGTGTTGGCCTCCTAAAAATATAAAAACTCAAACAAAGTTAAACGTCTACTATTAATAACTTGTTTATATATGATAGTATTTGTGTTAACTTACATTATTTATTGTCGCATATGGTATTAAGTCTTCCTAATCCAACAAACGTTTCATCTTCCAGGAAATAGCCCTAGGAATATCATTTGAAGTTTTTAATGCATATGTCCGCATGCTAGGGAAAGCCTCAAATATCCAAATCTACAAACAATATAATAACAAACATTAGTAATTGTTAAATAATTAATTATAATTTTGAAAACATTATATAGAAATTCTTACCTTAAAGGCCCAAACAAAGCCTGACAAAGTGTATTTCGACCCATCGCCACGCAAACTTTTGCGGTCATCAAAGGCAGACGACAACTTAGTCCAGGTAGCTTTCCATATATACGAACCCCACGGAAACAGATTCCATGCATTTAGGTCCTCTACCAATAATATTAGCTCCTGAGGAATAGGTTGTCTGGCCTCTCTGCCTAAAAAGCCGGCATACAAAAGTACTAGAAGGCATACTCGGACAACATCGACGTCATTCATCCGAGTAAAACCATCTTTCTTATTAAACAATTTCTTCAGGTCATCGACGTGTAAGTTCGGCTTCTCTATTGACTCATCAGGAAAAACCTTGGATAACCATGATGGGCGGGTGATATGACGAGTGTACCGGCCTATATCATCGTGTCCGAATCGTAGACCAGTGATTAAGCAGAACTCCTTCCGCCCAAAACAAGTATACGCCGGTGGAAAATGAAACCATATCTCTTCCTCACCACGTTGTATACTGTCGGGTAGATCGCTAGTCATGGTCTGAAGCCACAAAATGGGTCAAATTAGCATCTCCACCCGGATGCTGTACTCTCAGCCATGGCCCGAAGCAGGTTTCCTCAAACAATTTTCTTTGTGCAGGTGAAAGCTTCGAAGCAATTGTAGTGACTAGGCTAACTTTATTCCTTAATGTCAATGAAGCCGAAAAAAATTTCTACAAAAACAATAAACATACCAAGTTAGATATACCAAAAACTACACTGTGAAGATATACCAAAAACAATAAACATAAATAGTAGTTTATTCTTGAAACTAAAATTTGCAACACTGTTTTGTCTTTTGGTTAAAATGAAAATCGCAACGAGAGAATGAAAATTGCAACGCGGAAATGACTATCGCAACGAGAGAATCGCAACGCGAAATGAGAATCGCAACGAGAAATGAAAATTGCAATGCGATTTTGGTTTCGCGTTGCGATTATCTCGTTGCGATTTTCATTTCGCGTTGCGATTCTCTCGTTGCGATTTTCATTTCTCTCGTTGCGATAGTCATTTTCGTGTTGCGATTTTCATTTTCATGTTGCGATTTTAAGTTTAGAAACTATTCTTCTTCTGCATTACTTCAACCAAAAGACAAAACAAAGACAAATACTAACTTCACAGGGTTAAAGACTAAACAGTTTAGCAGTATTGGCAGCAATCGAATAAATTTAATAAGAAATCTAAGTGAAATGGTTAATCTATTATTGAAATTACCAGTAAACTTATCATCAATTTCAATATGAAAAACCTAAAATAATGCAAAATTTTCAAAATAAAAATAATTAAAAAAAACTAACCATCGGAGGTTGATTTTTCATTTCTGAATGATTGTGAGGGATTTCTGACCGTGAATGGTTGTGAGGGATTTCGCCGGCGATGGGGACAGAAATCTTCGGAGATGGAGACGGATTTCGCCGTAGAGAGTGAGAGATGGAGATGGGACTGAGTTGTGATTTTAGGTTTTAGGTTATGAGTTACGATTACGGGATATACTGTGGACGGTTCAGTTTCCGATATATTAATATATTCGTGTTTGGAATTTAAAAAAAAACACGCGTTAATATGAATGGCGCTATGTAAATCGCATTGCGATAGTAAGATTTGCAATGCGATTACGTAAATCGCAATGCGAATACGTAATCGCATTACGAGTTTCCTAATTCACATTGCGATTTACGTAATCGCATTGCGATTTACGTATTCGCATTGCGATTTAGGAAAATCGCAACGCGAATTTGGGAAATCGCAATGCGATAGTCAGAATCGCGTTGTGAATCTGGAAACTGATTTGCGATACCGGAGATCGCGTTGCGAATTATCGATCGCATTGCGATTTAGTTGGTCATTTTGGCAAATCTAAAAAAAATTGGTTAAAATCGTATATTATAAGGTATTTTTGGTTAGTGAGGTTATTTTCTCTATTTTTAATTTGAAAATTATGATTCATCCTCAAACTTCAGTTTAATTTTGTCATTAATTATTGATTGATAATTATAAAAAAGGTAAAATGATATTTTTAATCTCATAGATTTATAATTTTTATAATTTACTTTTTACTTTTTATATTATTAAATACAGTACTTTAATAATTATTAATTTAATAGGATGAGATATTAAATTTCTTAAGTAAGATTGAAATTCAAATCTTAACATTGTAAATTAACAAATTAACCGGGGTTCAAATTGACCAAAACTTTTAATTTCATCATTTTAATTTAAAATAAAATATTTATTTTATGTTTTTCTTCGATTGATTGGATACTGATCCTAATCAACTTACAAATAAACTTGTACGTCAATAATTTTAAATACATCATTTAAAATAAAAAACTAATAAAATAAAATTTCTTAAACTATTTTTTGATGGAAGAAATAAACTCGAACTCATTTAATGCTTTTTAATATTTTTAATAGTTAAAAGGTATATTGTTCTTTCTTGAAATATTAAATTCGAATAATTACGTATGTGAAGTCTATACAAAATTAATAATAAAATGTAATGAACGAATAGTCTTATAATCACCTCAAATTCTGCACAAAACACAGAAACATTCTGATGAATTATTTAAACAAACTGAAATGGTTTATAGATATATTTTAAAATTTTAATTTTTTTTTTCTAAAATTCAACTAATCAAATCAAATGTTATCCCATCCAACGATAAATTTGATGATAAAATAAGAAATATTAAATAATAAATCCTTGGATGTTGAATAATATTTAAATTCTCACAATTTAAATATTTTTTTATTTATGATTTAATTTTACATTTTCAATATATCTTGTTAGAAATTTACTCTTTCCTTGCGTCCCTGCATGATTTTAAGGTCACGATGGCAGTTCCCTTGCCATTGTTTACATTTTCAAGCTGGTAAAGCAATGGAACAAAATCCAATCTTTTTAGTTCATATTCACATAAACTAACCAAGAAACAAGTGCATTTGCAGAATTAGATGTAATGTTGACTTCAAACTAAAGAAATCTCTAATTGTTAAGGTAAAAAATAAACCCTACGATCATATCTTATATATCCGGCGTCTCGTACGGGACTCGTACGAACAACTGACCGTGCAGGGTAACCACAGCCGACGTCTGATGTGGATCGATTCTTGATGGCAGGCTCACAACCTGGACACATTGCATATGATTAATGCACACGAAAAATGGTTGTCCAGGGAATTGATATTGAAACAGATGATAGATGGCTACACTACATTGAAATTTCATCAAGTCGAACTAACCTTTTTGAAGGGTGTGACACCCCAAGGATTATCGGGTTGCATCGGTTGACCGGATATAACCAAGCGTCCGACTGGATCGGACTGAACATGCACCTGATTCATTTTAAAGCACATATGGTAATCCATCAACAAAAATCAACACAATCCATATGAAGTTAAAAGGAAAATGGATTCAGCAATTAATGCCATTCTTATTGGGATCCTCTTCCGTACTAGACTAAATTATGAATCGTACCGAGAAGGATAGAGATCTCGAGATTAATCTACCTAGCTAGTTGCAATCCTGGAAATTTACCAAAAAGATCATGATCGTGTGGAACATGTATAATGGCCATGCTAATGCAACTTAGCACATTAAGAACTCTACTAACGACCTAAGTGGTCAACCATGATATATTAGCTTATTTCAACGGCCTTGAGTTTTTCTGCATTATTCCTTTAGAGTTCAAGCCTTACTCCCTCAGGTCGATGACCACGGAGTCACTTGAGCATCGAAATAGATATCCTAGTAAAGTTCCATTGTAGTAAAGTAACTAACCCTTCGTCTAGAAGGAAAAGTCTCTTCTAAGTAAGCTTTACCTCTTGAAATCACGCAATTTAGAAAGCATAGAAAGCAAGATAGTAGACGTGAAACAGAGAACTGTCTAAAGATATACGAACCTCCTCACGAAGAAGCCCGGGAATCAAAGCATATACCTCATAGCAGTCAACCTGTGAGGGGCAGAGAGTCATGTATGATAATAGTAAATTAGTGATGTATCTTATAGGATGTATAACATTAACCTAAAAATAACATGAGAAAGACTTACAGTTTTTTGCACGTTAACCTTCACCCAATCAGCTGGGGCTCCGATATCGACAACCATAGTATCCAACCTGCCAAAAGAATGCCTAGTTTTGGCACCTTGAAATGTCAAGATACCGTTTCATATGCATGATAAAAAAGGGGGAAAATAAGAATAAGTAATTTGCGATCATAACTGTCGTTTAGTTGCTTTAAGTTGAGAAACTTGGGCACTAGGCTCCATGGTGGATGGCTTTTTACGCTTTAATAAACCTGAGACATTAACCGAGTCTCATAAATAAAGACAATTGTGGGCATTGTAGTAGCTGAATGTGCTAGGCCAAGCATATTAGGGAATACCAAAATTTTTTTGTCTGTCACTCTTGAGTGTTGGACTAGATGTCTTGTCCTAGAAAATTCGAAAAATTGCATAAAAAGGGCATGATCAGAGCAGACAAAAAGGAAAAAAGCAAAAAGATTAAACAACGCAGTAAATTCATATAGCTTAGATGGTCTTCAGAAACCTTGATGATTGGATGACAGACCTCACCGTTATCGAGAACACGTTGAGAATGCCAGCTTTGCATGGCACGAGCAGCAGCATCTCTCTTTGTCCTACCTGATCCAGGAGCTTGATTACTACCGGCCTACAAAAAAAGTAATATAAATCACTGGATATATATATAGGATTATGAAATAATTGATCAAGACAAATTCCAATCATATTACTAAGTATATGATTAGGGTTAAGGATACCCTGCGTTTAACACCGTAATTTCAAAACCGGACTTATCTATCGTATCATTGCACAAGCCAATATAGCTGTCAAAACACGTGCGTGAATAATTACATATTATGATACCCCTTTGCAGCTTTGAACAATATCCAGAATGTTTTTCCATGAATTGTGAAAGCACCTAAATATTTGATTCCCTCTTAAAAATCTCTATTCCCATAGATTGAACACGTGTTACGAAGAAAATTAAAGCATGCCTTTTAGGGAAGATCTACCTCCATGACTCCTTTCTCTTACCAACTTGGGCACCAACGGTTACTTTAACGACAGCATTTTTGGTACATTGTCTTAGTAAAGTTATTATCATTTCAAAATGAGGCAACTTTTTATATTTAATAGCCAAAATCTCGCTTGTTCACCGCGGGAACTCGTATAAGTTACTTGAAAGACAACAGGATAAACATAAAACACGGCTTCAACAAACAACATTGATGTTGAAGCTGATCAGCAAGCATATATACCTGTGTTTCAACCCCGTTAGGCTCCACAAAGGGAGCATCTGAGTGAGGGAGCATGCCACCATGTATTTTATGCCTTTCATACTCGAGTAGTGCCTGATAAATTTATGGAACCAAATTACAGGATAACCATGTGTTAAATTAACAAATAAAGAAAACAAAAGTTAGAATTAACGGAGAAAGGCCTTGGAGTTACAGCCTTAAATCACAAGGTATGTGTTCTTTCAATCTAAAAAGGAAATTATCAGTTAGAGCAAAACCTTCTCATAAAAGATTCGGAATGTCCATGACACTGTAGTGCAAGTCCTACACCAAACACACACACACACACACACACACACACACACACAATAAAGGCACCTCATTAACAAAATTTATTCATAACTATATTTAAAAAAATACGAGTAGCAGATTTATTTTTCAACCATACTTCGGGGGATTAAATGATTCACCGACTTGCCTCCACAATTTGCATGAGGTCACCTACAAAGTCCACAGCACGGTTAAAAAGGCAAGTCAATAACTCTGTCTTATTCTTAACCATAAATGAAATTTTTTTTCTTGATCATCATAAATAAACACGACAACTAAACTAATCATAGATTACCGGTTGCGTCAAACCAGAATAACTACAATTCAATGTCAAGATGCAAACACTACATGTACTTGGAAACCAGAATCAGGAAAACCACATATTACCAAATAATTAAAAGATTCATATTATATTCCGTTCTAGTTTTCGCACTTTGAATTAAACCGGCCATCCTTTGTACAAGCTTGTTATGAAATTGTAGAAGATTTTGGCAGAGATAGTTTTCAGAACTTAGGGCAAACCTGTTCATAGCCCCCCAACTTAATGACAGCTCTCCATAACCTGTAGCCGAAGGGGAAATAGTGAAGAAAGGTCAGCACAAAGGTTTAGTTTTTCGACGAAGAAAGAAACAGTTTGCATAAACACAGAACTCGAAAGTCTTACTTTAGCAAATTCAGATCCTCCTTGTAAAACTTAGGGTGTTTGAATTCAAGGTTCTTCTCCTTGTAAAAAGCTTCAACCTCCTTCACAAAAGCTGCTTGCTCCTCCTCAGTGTCCGACCCCGAATTGTCGAAGCATAAATTGGGATTTGACAAAGACAATGGGGTATTAATCTCCCTTTCTGTAGATAAATCCTTCAATGGCACCCCATTGTCAAGGCCATGGTCATCATCTTGGGGTTTCTGGTCAGAGTTGGGGCTTCCACTAAGTCCATTATCATGTGAATGCACGAGGCCAACATCATCATCATCATCATCATTTCCAGCACCATCCATCTTGGTATCAGTTTCAACTAAAGATTTGTCCTCAACATCCTTAAATTCAACATCAACACTTCCCTCGGGCTTTAATTTTTCCTCATTTCGAGCACCAGTATCATCGACACAGAGAGTTTTGCCGGTGTCTTCAACTGCTTGTTGCTGTTCCACTGAATCCGGGTTGTCACCGACCGGCTCAGCCTGCAATCTCCCGTCATCTTCTTCAAGTTTTGTAAGTTCTTCAACTTGAACTTGGCCTTTCCCTTCACCAGCTCCAGTCTCAGCCTCCATAGGAGCTTGACACTCAGCTTCAGCCTTAGAAACAACACCAGTTTCAGCTTCTTCCATAACTGGCTTTGAATCATCCATTTGAGTCTCAACAACAGTATTAGTCACCTTTTCAGGATCCTAAACACCAAAAATGGAGAAAACAGAAAAAACCCATAAATCAAAACACTTTTCTCTAAACAAAAAGCCAATCACACACACACACACAAAGATCACTCCTTTTTTTGTCATCATTTATATTACGACATAAAAGAAACAAGTTGGTTATACTCACATCCATCCCTTTCTTTCCGGGTTAGCCACAAAACAAAAACTTTTAAACAAAAAAAAAACCTGCAAAAAAAAAGCATGAAAAAGAAACAAATGTCTAAAACATAAACCCAGAGAGATAACGGCATTGATAAACCCTAAACAAAACGGTAAAAGGAACTCACTTGGTGAGTTTGTTGGGAGGAGTGAGTCAAGGACTCAACTGCGAGTTGAACACTGGGTTAGGACTGGCATGGACCCTGGGTTTGGAATATTAAAAAGAAAACAAAAATGAAAGAAGATACATGAACAGGGGATAATTGACCTGTTGAACTACAAAACAAAAATTTAGAGATACTGTTGAGGTCATTAGTGGTATTGTCTACTTGTTAATGTGAAAATTTTATCTAAAACTAAACCATCCAAATGAATTGTTAACCCTTGAAAAGTCTTAATGGGCTTCAGCCCAAGACCAACAACATATGAAGTCTATGTGCAACATTTCTTGTTCTTTAATGTATCTATGGGACAAACTGGATCGTATGGTGACCTAAACATTAGAGTAAGCAAAACTTTATTCGATTCACAAAATTGATTTTTTCTACTTGATTCGACTCAAATTGAATTTGAATTATAATTTTATAAACTCAACTCGAAAAAAATTCAAATTTGAATTCGGATAGCTCAAAATTTTTAATAATCAGAGGATTGATTTTCAAGTTTGAGTCGAGTCTCTAATGATATATGTATAATAAATATGAAGAAATGTATATGTATTGTATATGTTTATAGAAAACTGTTTAAACCGGAATCAATAGTATCATAATATTATAAATATTTACAATTATATTTAAACATAAACTCGAATAACTCGACTCGACTAAAAAAATTCAAATCAAGTTTGAGTTATAAAATATGACTCTCTCAACTTGAATTACTTGAAACTTTTTGACTCAACACAATTGAATGCTAACCATTGCTAAACATGATTAATTTTCTCGTTACTTTGAGTTTAGTGAGTGTTGTTGGAGAATTATTTTCAAAAGATAATATGTATAACGCTATCATTTTAAATTCTAAAAGGTTTTCTTTTTATTTCTTTTATGCGAAATCAATGTATTATGCTTCTTATAGTTAGTTTGTCTTTTTTTTTCAGAGTGTACGGCGTGACATCCTCCGTCATCTAATATCGTGACACTTTTGTCACATGCATTCATGATTGATCCACTCTATTTATTCTGCATGTTAGAGGAATTTGATGTAAAATTAAACAGTCAATGAATCATTTTAATATCATTTGTTAAAATATCGTTACTCTCTTTTTTAAAGATATATTTGATATGATGTGTGCGATATTGCTTTTAAATTCTATGACTTTTTATTTTTCGGAGTGAGATGCCCTCTAATAACGACATGTTTGCGGAGTGCCCTAAATTAGTACATACATACACACATATATTATAATGCTTTATGTGAACTTTTCAGTGAAACAACATAAACAAATTTCTTAATCCAAACCATTCAATTCAAGAACCGAAATTCTACTCCAAGTAAAGAGTGTAACACTAAATTATAAGCATTGGGTTAATTGGAAACAAAAATATCAGTTCATAAACAGCAGAAGGCAGTAATAAAAAGACCCTAAATGAAATTATATATATACAGAAATGATGATAAGGCAAGAAGAGGAAACTGACCCTACGCCCCCACTGAGATAAAAGCTGAAAATTTTCACGGGTATTCCACTTAAAGGCAAGGAATTGAGTTGTTGTTGATGAACTTGAATTGAAGTTCGGAAATGGGTCAAAGAATTTACCATTATTTGCTTACGGGTGGGGCAGATTCAGACAATATCTGCGGATTTGCCCGCATTTTTTTTTACAACTTTTGTTTGTTTCAGCAACTCGACTCTGTAGAAAACTGGGAACTCATTCATGGATGTTCTGCTTTTTGTACTTCTTCAAGGGCTTGTGAGTATCCAGGTTCCATGGCCGAAGGGTATTGAGGTTTTTGAGCCCATTTATATGGTTTTGAATTTTGGACTTAATTTCTGGATTTTCCCCCCAACTAAATCTGTTACTTCAGAATGGATATTTTTGACAAGGAAAATGATGCCAAAAAAATGAAAAATTCTGGATTTAGATAAAACTTTTCTAGATAGCTATGGATGACAGAAGTTATAATCATAAAATTACTCCTTAATATATATATTTTTAATTTAATTTATATTTTTTGTGAGTGTGGAGTTTGATCTACAATCCTTTAAAATTTGTCTAATTACGTTCTTTAACTTTAAAAAATTCAACTGCTAAGTTTTCAATAAAATTACTACTACAATATTAAATCTTTAATAAGGTTAATATAACATTTCCATGTAGTAAAGTAAATATACTTCATGTTATTTTTTTAAAAAAATTTAGTATTTTTTTTTATTTTCATAATTCTTAAATTATTTGTTAACATGACATATAAGATAAAATGTCATGTTACCACTGTCGGAACCGCCTTTCGGTTGGGCCCCGGAATTGAGCTTCGACTTGGATGAATTAGGTTAGGAGTCGCCACCGATCATTTATTTTATTAAAAATGGGTTGATCGGATACATTATCTCTTACCTGATCTGTGTCTTACCAGAAATGTGTCAGGCTCGGGAGTCGGTTACGGTCAAGGAAGGATTAGCACCCTTAACCGCCCTTTCGGTAGTATGTAATTTTCAGTTGTCTTTAATTAAGAAAGTTGTAAATTTACATTAAAATGTAAAATGACGATCCAAATCACTTACAATTGATTGATGAAAATACCCTTAAGATGTCGTGAAAAGTGTTTAAAAAAGGTAAATTAAATAATATGAATAAAATAAACAAAAGAGATAGATAAAATAAAAATAATAAAAAACCAAACAAATAAAAAATGAAAATAGAATAGAATTTGAATTAAACAAAAAAAGAATACATGCACATAGCGATAGGGAGAAAACAAAAAAAAGAAAGTGGATTATAGAATATAGACATACTGGAATATTGATAAAACAAACAGAAATATAAAAATAATATACATGTGTACAAATAAATAAAATACCTAAAAACATAAAAAAAATAGAATAATAAATAAGGAAAAAGAAACAAATAAATTAAAATAAGAAATGAAGAGGCCATAAAATGTTTTAAGAAAAATATATATAAGTAAAAAAATTAATATATCAAAATAATAATAATAATAATAATAATAATAATCGGTAAAACTAATAAATAAAAACAATGAAAGGATTAGAATGAAAGGATTAGAATGTAAGGATTAGATTGAAAGAGAACAAAATTTTAAGGCCAATTTTACAAGAAATTCGAAATTGGAATTGATTTTAGGGCCAAATCAGAGCTGTATAAAGCGAAGAGGGACCAAACTGGAGATTTCACCTTTAAGTTATGAAAACGTGTGGGTCTAGGGGTTAAAATGGGTAACACGCGGGTCGGTTCGGGTTTCATGGGCCTCGCATAAAGGCCAAAAATTTTATAATTTATTTCATTTTCTCTCTTCTCTCGCCAAAAACATCTCTCCCTTCTCTCAAAATGCTCTCCTTTGTTCTTCACAAGTGAAGAACATGAACCAAAATTCCCAGAAACCGGCGGTTGCTCCGCCTCGTGCCGCCGATCATCGGCGGGCAAATTTTTTTTTCTTTTCCAAATGCTTTCTTCCTTTCTTTTCCAAAAAATCAAAGCTTTTTTAAAACCGAGCTTTAGGGAAGAGTAGATCTAAGAAAATAGTTTTGAGAACAAGGCCTCACTTTGCTCATTGGTCGAAAAACACTTCATTTGGTAGTTTGAAACGAAGACAACATGAAAGCAATGACATGCAAGCCACCAAAACGAGGAAAGGTATGAATTTTCACCTTTTGTTCTTCTCTCGAAATATTGCTAAAAAGTACTTCGAATGTTCTGTTACTTCGGCTATAATTTGCTCGAAAACTTTGCTTGTATTTCGTATTTCCAAAATCCGTCCCCTTACAAATGGATGATTACATTTATTTATAGCAAAAGAAAATCCTATTTTTAGGAGTTCAAAACCTAGTAAAAAGACTAATGCTTGGTTGTTTTTGTTGAAACACGTTCGTTGGCAGTTGTTTGCTTGTTGAGGAGTTCACGGCGTCGAGAAAACCGACCAAGAGAAGCGTGGGTGGCGAGGATTCGAACGGCCAGAGATGCGACACTAGGGTTGGGGGTCCTGCTAGAAACCTTAAGTATCCTTTGTTGTGGACCGTTATATCTCATCTAGGTCCAACGACCATTGTTGCTGGCGGCTGGGACAAGCTAGGGTTTTACAAACCCTAATTTCTTGGGTTTGACTTACCAACTGGGCTCCAGGTCTTGGGTGTAACGGGCCGCTGGACTCCTTGTGATTTATGGGCACCAATTGGGCCTGAAAAGAGAAAAAAGATGTAAATAAATATATTATATAGATGAACATATTATATAATATAATTTATAATATAAATATATATTATATAATATAGTAACGTTTGAAGGATAAAATTTAGTGTCTTCAACCACAAAGTACACATGAATTATAATATATTTTGTCACGTTAAAAATAATTGATAAATAATATAACATAAAAAAGTACTCTTATTTAACTGAACAATCACTTTGATATTATATTTTTCTCGAAAGAATATCGATATTGACTCATACGCCTTTAGCCAGTATAAATACTGAATGATTCATGAAATTTAAATACACCCTTTTAATTTAATTCCAAAAACAATTTTTTCCCACGTTGGTGGATCCCCCCCCCCCAAAATGTGGAACAGTAACTAGTTTCTTATTTTCTTCTCTAACTGAAAATTAACTCATATTTTTAGTCTAAATTATGAATTTTACACCTATATAAAAATATAAAAAATTAATCCAAATATTTTAATTTTATCAAAAGTTTGCATTCCTACTTAAAAAGAACTAAAACGTTGGTCTAATTATATAACGCTAATAAAATTTTGTATTAAATCATTGACCTAAAAAAACCTAACAATTTAATAGAATCTGTAAAAATCTATAACTCAACAATTCACATACACCAAATTAATAAAAAAATCATTGATATAATATGAAAAGTGAACTAAAATTTGATAAATTAGAATAAATAGACCAACTTCGTAAAGTTTTAAAAAATCATAATTAGACCGGCAAATTTTGCGTTGCTATTAGCAAAAATAGTGATTACTAATGATTTTGTGCTTTCACTCGGTTTTCCTACAAGTGAGTGAACAATCACTTGCAAATTGATCTTTTCCAACATTATCATTACAGATCTGAATTATAATTAAAGAAAAAGACCCAGTCGAGCTTTGATCACTACCCCAAACTTATCAAAGTAAATTTGTTTAATAGCACAGTGAAATAACTGTGACATGGTAGACCCAAACATACATATGCCATATCCTTACCAGTGCTTCTTCTCAGCTCACAGGAAGGCGTCCTTTTCGAGCAACTTTACTACCTTGGGCTGATTGTTGAGCTGATTGTTGAGCTTTGCCACATCAATCGGAGTCTTTCCGTCCATATTTTGGAGAGTTCTGTTATAAGAGAAAAAGGTTGCATTACAGGGGAAAATAAGTCGATACGGCATCAATGGTTTACAGTCAATTCAATGTACTTACACAGCAGCGCCGTTCTTCAATAGAAGGGCCACACAGTCTTTCCGTCCATAACCAGCTGCATAATGGAGTGCAGTATTCTTGTTCTTGTCCAAAGCATCCACTGCTGCTCCGGCTTCAAGAAGGATTTGAGCGCATTTCACCTAATATAAAATCGAATGTGTATTAGCTTTATCCACCCAGACAATGGACAATGATAATGATCTCTTGGGTAATGCAACAGTACGAAAGGAAAAAGGGGTTCAGTTAGAAAATTATTTTACCTCACCATATCCACAGGAAAAATGAAGTGCTGACCTTCCCTCTGAATCTTCTTCATCCTTGTCAGCACCAGAATCTAGTGCAGCTTTTAGACCCTAAGTCATAAATACAGTCGAGAGTTTATAGACTATCTTTCGAACGTGAAGAAGATAAGTACAAAGTGTTCATTGAGCCATACCTCAACATCACCAACACTGGCACAATGATGTACAATAGATTCATCCTCATTTCCTTCTTCATCACCTTCATCTGCAGCAGAGTTACCAGCAGAGGTGGCTGCATCTCCAGAACCAGCAAAATTCATTGCTTCACCTAACTTCTGCAGAACATCTTTATCATTCCAGTACCTAGACCAGAATGCTTTTCTTTATTAGTAATTTAGCAAAGAAATGGTTGAATGTAGACATCCTAAATGCATTTCAAAGAAGAAAATGTTACGCCGACAAGCTTATGATATTATCTTAATCTCCTAGTAATTCGATCAATCACCTCATCATTGCTGCAGGACCGCCATTCTCTATTTCTTCTAGAATATGTTTCAATGATGGATCTTCTTTGATTTTTGACATCCTTTCCTCAATCTGGTCTTTGTGTTGTGGATTAGTCAAACTCTCAAGCATGCTAGACATAGCTGGATCCTGAAGAAAGACAAAACTCAACTTCATCTACCATACATAAAATCAGCTAAAAAAAACCATAAATCCGCTTAAACAGGTAACTGGGTGCATATATACCTGCATTAATGCATTACCAAGGCGCTCTGCCATGGTCATAAACTGAGGATTCTGCATAACCTGCTGCATGGTTGAATGGTACTGCTGTGGGTCGAACTGTGGAATACTCTCTTCTGCTGCTGCCCCTTGAAATGTTTTAGTGAGCTGCTCCGCCATTTGGTTAAATGAAGGATCTTTTGCTATCTGCTCAGCTAGTTCCTTGATGCTTGGATCCTAACCGAAGTGGCCAACAACCACAAGTCAAAAGATTAAAATGCATTGAGATATAAAGACAAAGTTGTTACGGCCACCAAAAGGAGAATGAATATGAGACTAATGTCAGGCTCAAGTCGGTTGCTAGAATAACAAAATTTAGAACCAACCCATACCTGAATTGACTAATAGGTCCAAGATCCGAACACAAAGTAATACAATCTAAAATGGCCTGATCCAACCCAAACACCTAAGAAATTGAGCTAATACTAAAAAATAATTAAAATTATATTTTAAAAAAAATTGTATTTGTCCAAGCTCAATGACACTCGACTTGAAAATTACCTGAAGCCGTAACAACCAGAATGTAAAACAAATCGAGCCCTAAATCGAGCCCTAGTATAAGTACAACTGCAGACTGATTTACAAGCTTTATCCAAGCTACAAGATTATCAGTGGATGTTATATTCTGTAAGTTCCCAGCCATTAAGTACACTACTGAAATAGTCAACCAATCAGATTAACCATAAACTTCATGACATTATACTACTGAAGCAGTAAAAAGGACATAAGAAAAGATGAGCTATGTTTCTCATTCAATGAAACAGTTCATAACAATCCAAACAAGAATTAAAATAAAAGGAGAGAAGCTTACATTAAGAATGCCACTCATGGCGGAGAAATCAAATGGATTCGGTTGGGCAAACCCTGGTTCAGGCATAGTGGCAGGTGAAACTCCACCCTGTACTGGTTTTGTTTCTCCGCTGTAGCTTTTGCCAGATTTCTCCTCTAAGAACACAAAAGCATAAAAGAGAAACAAACTTCACAACCAAGCGAAATAGGTATTAACCAATGTTAATCCTCAAAAGAAATGAAGCTAGTCAATCCCAAACAATAAAATCCCAAACACAATTATAATTTATAAGTACTGAACTTAGTATTACCAAAAGGAATATAATACACAGTCACAAAGCACTAAGCAGTATTGACAATAACGAGGAAAGATAGCTTTCTTGTTCGGATTCGAAAACAATATCAATTCAACACCAAGACATGGTACTAAAACAGGAGTAATTAGAATAATCTGCACTAAATCAAGTCAACCGCCCATTAAGAAATAATGAAACGGAGCTCCAATAGATCTCAGAATAAATTAGTACTACTAAAAGGAATACAATACACAATTGCAAAGCAGTATAGATAATAACGAGGAGGGCAGTTCGCTTTCTTCTTCGGATTCAAAAGCAATATCAATTCAGCACCGAAAGATAGTACTAAAACAGGAGAAATTAGAATAATCTGCAACACTAAATTAAGTCAACTGCCGCCGATTAATATATAATGAAACGGAGCTCAAATAGATCTCAGAATAAACTAAGAAATCTAATTCAAAACAAAAGAAATAAAAAACATAGAAAAAGAATCCGAGATTGAGCTGACCAGTACCAGTGGATTCCTTCTTCGAATTGGAAGCCATCGGAGCGACTAGCTGAATTGAACAATTGAAAAACAAAATTAAAAAATAGCTGCAAATTAGAATTTCAAGAAATTTGAAGAGAAATTAGCAGATAATTAGAAAAAATAGATTGAAATTAAACCTCTTGATTTTGAGGTTTTGGTTTCGGTGTAACCAGAGAAAGCGAAGATATATATATATATATATATATATATATCCAAAAAAAATCATCTTTTTAATTTAATATTCCCGATCAGTCATCGATCAGACTATATTTCTCGATCTAACATCTTTTGCAGTAAGACGCATCCTGCACCGCGTTATACGCTGATTTGGCGCCACGTGGGTAAGGCGCGCCCCAACCTGAGGTGCGCCTTATGTTGATAGGTTGGTAATTAAAGGTATGACGCGACGCAAGGGCCGCGCCTTACCTATGATTCTGACACGCGTCATAAAGGCGCGGACCCTGACCCGCACTATACCCTTAACTACCAAATTACCCCTGCCCGTTCACACCTATCCCTCCCTATAAATATCCCAATTCTCAATCACTTTCATCATACTAAACCCTCTCAACTTCTCTCAAATACTCTTATATTCTATTATTAAGGTATATTTTATTATATTTAGTTTTTTTAGTAATTTATTTAATTATTTTAATTGCTAAATATTTTATTTAATTAATTTTTTTTACAGATATAAAATGGAAGGCGGTCTACTTTGGTTGGATGAAAATCATATATCTCGACACTTTACTGATACGGTAACATTTTAATGTTTTAATTTAATTAATTAATTTATTTAATGCATTATTATTAGTTTAAAAATTAATTTGTGTAATTATTTATTTTTTAGGAGAGAGACCGTATATTAGATTCTTTTATTATGAACCTTAAGTTAGTTATACCTACCCGTGTAATGTTGTATTTAGTAGAGGCTGTATTTGGTCACCTAGGTAGATATCAGGATCACTGTAAGATAGAACCAGACCTTATTTCTGCCTTAGTAGAGCGGTGGAGGCCGGAGACCCACACATTCCATCTTCCGTGCGGAGAGTGCACGATCACGCTTGAGGATGTTTATATGCACCTGGGGCTTCCGGTGGATGGAGGTGTGATATCAGAGATAACTTCCGGTTCTTGGACTACTTTGTGTTGGGTTAGTCTAGGACGTGTCCCGGAAAATTTTAACGGTGGACAGATACCGTTAAATTGGTTAGATGCTAATTTTCAGGAGTTGAGTGAGAACGCGTCTGACAATGAAGTTAAACAGTATGCACGAGCATGCATACTGCAGCTGATAGGAGGGTTGCTAATGCTGGACAAATTGCGCAACCAAGTTCACTGTATGTGCTTGCAACATCTTGGCGACTTTCATCTGCCCGGATCACTCAGTTGGGGCTCGGCAGTTTTTGCTTGCCTGTACAGGGAGATGTGTCGAGCCATTGACTACATGCGTAATGCTATCGGCAGATGTCTCCTGCTGCTGCAGTCTTGGGCATGGTATCGATTGCACTTTTTATGTCCCGTTGTCAAGAACCCATTCGTATTTCTGCTACTCCTGAGGTAATTATAAAACTGATTTTGTATATTAATAATTTTATACAATGAATAAGAAATTATTTTTCTTGAATAGGTGGTCTACTGATAGGAAAAATCATCAGGAGCTACCTGATGATTTAGAAAAAAATTAGGGTGTTAATCGATCAGAAGGCTGGCACACATGTATGAATTTTAATGTTTAAAAATCGATTTTAGATTATAGTTATATAATTAGATTAATATTTTGATAAAAATTATATATATTTGTTTTAGTTTGAATGGGTGTCATATTCTACTGATGATGTGAGGGCGGTGATCCCACCTGAGTTGAGGGGCCCATCAGATGTTTGGATGGCAATGATCCCCTTGATCTGTTATGCGACCGTCGAGTGGCACTCCACTGATCGCGTGCTCCGGCAATTTGGTTGTTTTCAACCAATTCCGGAAGCACCTCGCAATATGGACGAGTTGCATAGCACAGATAGACGCGGCAAGACAGATACATATTGGCTGGTGAGGCATCAAGCGTGGGTCGTGTTTTGGGAGGATCAACATCGGCGCCTTCCCCATAGAGAGTCCATTTTACTTGACTTCTTGATGGTTGCTGACGGTTATTACGAGTGGTTCAACAGTAACGGCAAACCGTTTCTGCTTCCCGAGGATGCACGAGGGCAGACCTTTCCATGACGTCGACAGAGACGTTCACCGACACAACACTATCGTCCCCTGACTCGTGGACGGAGAGCAGGTGCTTCCGGTTCATCCTCAGCTGCACCAGCAAGACCTTCACAGCAGCCACCACAACCATATATGATGCCGCCACCGCCTTTCAATTACCAGATGTCGCCGCCGCTATTCCCTTACCCGATGCCGCCGCCGCCACCATCACCTGGTTTTATGACCCCGCTGCCACCACTGTCACAGATGACCCCTCCTGGAGGCTATTATGGGTCTATGTTTACAGATCCGACTTGGGTTCATATGCTGGATATTTGGCGGGTTCAACCTCATTACCCATGGCCGTAGCATAGACACCTCCTGTAACACCCCCAACCCGTACCCGACCCGGATACGAGTCTGAGGTGTCACATTAACTACTCAAAAACATTTACTTTTACAAAATACCCAAGATTCAATTTGATATTTCTAATAAAAGCATTTATTTTCTATGATATAAAACATATGCTTTTACAAAACTGATAAGAGTGTATATAATACAAATCTTTTAATTACATGCCAACTAAATTCTATATATAACAAAATAAATGTTATTCATTTAGGTTCTGATCTGACCTTCGGTAAGGAGAAACTAACCGGTCTTGCTCCTCTTAGCTTCTCTTCCTGCTTTCCTGAACCTACGTGTGAAACACTCACACGCTAAGTCATAGACTTAGTGAGACATATAAATACATATGTAAATTATCAAATGCATGTACATATCATGTAATACAACATCATACTGGTATACATACTTTTTCATGTAACAATTACATACACACATGCATGTCACCATTTATATTTTCTCATACTCTTGTATGATTATCCTTTCTATCTCTTATCTCTTGTTCATATGATCTCTTATTTTCATATTCTATATCTTATAACATGTTCTTACATCATCATATGAGTCCTTGATATTCATTCATTTATATATACATTAACATATATTCATGTACATCCCATAACAAATGCCATAACCCATAACACACATTCTTTCCTATGACGTATACACACATTCACATATATCATCATATAAAACATGTAACACATTTCTCATTGCAACTCACTGTTATCGTTATCTTTTTTTGTTAGCCCGTGCACACTACTGAGAACTTAAGGTATGCGAGTACATAGAGGTTGTGCACTATTCTGTCACCACAGCTCGTATAATTCCCACTAGGGGCGCGTAGAATTTGTCTCGAAGGACCACGTAGATGTCCCGAAGGACCACTTATAACACATATGTCCCGAAGGACCACTATGTCCCAAAGAACCGCGTAGACCCTCGACTCTTGGCATGCCAACTATACCTATAACTCTCATAACACACATGACATGGGCATTATCTTTTACCTCATTACACATTCACATATTCATATCACATAGTCACGTAGTTTACTTTCACGTAGCATTTTTCCATGAAATTCACATTCACGTATCACATAACTTTCCACTTGTACTTGTATTCTTTATTTTTCATATAGCTCATAATTATGATTCTTATCTCATAACAAGTATTCACATCACTCATATAACATACATAGCATATCGTGTAACGTTCTCATAAAAACACATATGAGTCATATCACTTTCACATATATTTTATCATATATCTTATCTCTTATGATCATATAACCTATTATCACACATACATGCATTCACAAGGTTCACATATAAAGATACATTCGACAATTAAACCTATGCATTTACTCATATACTTCTAGCACCATATTATTACAGGATCATTCTCAGGTACTCTTAAACATCATATCATACTATACTTATATTATTGTACTCATGTCATCTAGTATTGGAATTAGACTCATCGCAAGTCTTAATTCCATAAACATCATGTACACTTAATATCATGTACTCACCTGGTCTCACTAGTCAATATCGATCTGTTATCTTTTCCTTGATCAATCTTATTTGCCAAGTTCCGGAACTTGTTTAGGCTATGTATCTACATAGTAATTCATTGATACTAATCAATATACTAATTAATATATTCTAAACTATCATTTCTTGGGCTAAAAGAAGAGCCATTTTCATCTTTTAATGAAGGTATACATCGATGCACCACACCCTGCATCGATGCATAAATCCTATTCGATGTTTACATTTAATGGGGTGCATCGATGCACTACTTGTGTATCGATGCACTGATGGCATTCGATGTTCGTATTTTAAAAGAGTGCATCGATGCACTTCAGGTGCATCGATACACCTTGAACAATTTCTGGGATTTACCCTTGATGCATCAGTACACATTTAATGTGCATCGATGTACATAGCCCAAAATTCCAATTTATACCTGAAATTCCACTCTTTTCAGCTTAATTACTTCATATATGATCCCATTTCTTATTCTTAACTTACATATGCATGTTTAAACTCATTTATATTTATTTATCTCGTCTTTAACCTTAATATCATCTCCTCTTCATTAACTTCAAGAATCATACCAGATTTTCAACATGTTTTAAAACTCATTCTATCACTTCACATCTCTTAATTTAACCCTTGACAAGTCAAATTCAACTTTAAAATCTATTAACTCATTCTATTTCAAAAATTCACTTAAAAACTCATTTTCTTTAATCTCTTCTATATCTTTCATCTTGTTGCTTTAGAACAAATTAAGCTTTCCTTAAGCTTAATTATCCTCTAATGATCATAACCCAGCCTTAAAATCAATAATTAATCCACAAGCAAAGAAACTCACCTTTGAGCTTGGAGACACGGGAGGAAGAAGAAGAAGACTGAAGAATGCTCTGGAGAAATTATCTCCTTCCCACATGTTTATTACCCTTTATAAAGGGAAATAAAATCTTTCCTAAAAAATGACCATAATACCCTTGTTACTTCAAACTTTGTTATTTAAATCCAACATCAATACTTTTCATTTAAATCCCTAAACTTTCAATCTTTTCT